CCCCCCCCCCCCCAAAACAAAAAAAAAGTATTGCTAATTATTTCGGGCGCTATATTATAAGGATGTGAAAAGGTATCCGTCTGAGCACCAATATGAATGCTATGAGTTATGAGCTATGAGTTGTTTGTGCCGCTGCAATGTACTACTGTGTCCGCTTTTTGAGGCTCTGCAACTGAGGGGTCCTGCTATTTAGGGTCCGTTGTTTGGGGTCCCCTAGCGCGGGAAGCTCTGACTTTATGTTTACGGATTTCGGCTTTGGGCGCCGGGGCTGGGGATATCACCCTGGGTACAGTTATATCACCCGCTAAACTCGGCCGCGGGACGAACGACCTTCAAGCCTGTCTTGTGCAGTTTCTCCGCAAGTTGGTCGACGGCGATGTTGGACGGAGCACAGACCAAGACCTGCGGATACGCCGGGGGTGGCCGGTGTCAAGAGATGTCTGGGACGATAGGCAGGCCCCACACAGTCCGACAGTCCTTGATTATAAGCAATGGGGACCTTACCTTAACCCACCAAAACGCACTTTTGTGGAGGTTCTTATTATAAACCCTAATATGGAATTTATAGGGAACCTACAATAAAGTAGGTTCTGGTGGGTTAAGGTAGGCCTAAGAAAGACCTCGCCAGATAGAGACTTCTTCCCTCCATTCCAGAAGAATGGGAAGGCCTAGCGTCCAACCTCTCAGTGGAAGATGCTCATCAAGCCATGGATAACTATAAGACTAAAGCGAAAAACATAAAGCCACCAAAAAGCCGAACGCCTAATACATGCAAAGATCCACGCACATTAAAACTGCGCATGCCCGTTGTCACATGTACGTTAGGAGGCCAGGCAGCAAGCGACCGGCACTTTCAACACTGCGAAAGGCCTACGCTCTATGGGGTGTTGCGCTTCCCCACCTGTCCCTGGTTCTGCCGCGTGAGGTGGTAGACAATTGTGGCAGATGTGACGGTCTTGCCCGTACCTGTCACAGGATGCCTAAACCATAGAAGCTCCTGACCCGTGGAGTTGAGGCTTTAGATAAAGGTTTAGGGGTTTAGGGTTTAGGGCTTAGGGCCTCTAGTGAGTGGTAGTTGACGGCTGGCTTTGTGGGCATTTTTCGGATGTACCGCTGCCCGCAACCCTGAAGCCGTCTTTGCGAATCCAACTCAGAGCCGATGTCTGGGCCTCTGCCCATGATTTCTGGCAAGATCTCTAAAGTCCTGAACCCTTGAACCTGTAAAGCCCTCAGCCCCGAACCCGAGCTTTCTGCCTTAAGCCCTCAAATAAATAAGCCCTCAGCCGTATGGGCTTAAAGGATCCGGTGCTGGACCGATCGGGGACCTCCGCAGGGGCTTAGGGTTGCGGGTTTAGGGTTTAGGGTTTAGGGGCATCCAGGGCTAGGGCCTTGGGTTTAGGGTGTAGGTTGGGGCTATCCAGAGGCAGAGAATGCCTAGTAGACACTTCGCATTGCGGAAGACAAGCGGCACCAAACGTATCACATGATCAGTGTCGTCATCATCAGAAGGACAGCGTTTAGGATCGAGAAACCTCCCAACCCTTTTGCTCAGGCACCTGGCATCTTCTGAACCTAGTCTTCGTAGGCGGAATATGCAGAATCTCCTTTTGTTTTATCCCTTGAAAGACATGGAGCAGAACTCAGGGATGACCCAACAAGCTAACTAGTAGTTGTCCAGAGTCGAGCCAAGCCGAAGGAAGTCTTAGCATAATGGTCCCTTAGTCGTCCCCTGCGAATAGAATTCCAAAGTCGTACCCTGCAGTAGCCAATAGGGTTTAGGGTTTAGGGTTTAGGGTTTAGGGGTTTAGGGTTTAGGGTTTAGGGTTTAGGGTTTAGGGTTTAGGGAATAGTAGTACCTTGCAGTAAGAACCCTCATAGCGCCGCCACCTGGGGGTCCCTGGATCAGGCACAAGGGGTTCGACAACGCCTTGCGGACGGCGTAGACCTGTTTTCATTTGGGCTGCGGGCTGGGGGTTTGAGGGTTTAGGGTTGACGGTTTAGGGTTGAGGGTTTAGGGTTTATTTTGGGCTTAGGGTTTAGGTCTTGAGGGGTCTAACCCTCAAAGCCATAGCCCCAAATCCCACAGAACAGTAGGTTGCGAAAGCTATAAACTTGATGACCAGGGCTTTGAGGCCTCAAGCCTCTTCAACCTCTGATCCATCTATCCTAATGATTCGCAGAATCGGCTTTTGGGGTATACGACAGTAGGAGAATCTTCGTATTCCGATCCCGATCTTGCACTCTTTACTCTACTCTTAGGACTGTAGGAGGGACCCCGAATAGGGACCCTTAATCCCATTACCTTAAATAACCATTGTATAGTCCTTATATACCCCTTATATAGCCAGGTAGTCTCCATATTAACACCAATAACCTACAAGGGTCCCTATTAAGGGTCCCTCCTAAATCCCTTAGATCTACCAAGCCTCCGGGACCCAGGTCTCAGAACCGAAACCTTTGCTCCTCGAGCCCTGCAGTCCCCTTCACCATCACCCGAAGCCCTCAAGCCTCGATCCTAAACCCGAAACCCTAAACCCCCAATAAACCCCTAAACCCCCTAAACCCCAAGTCTGAACTCTGGCATCGTTACACCCTCCCAGCGAAACCCAACACCCGAAACCCTGCAAACCCTCTGCACCTCAAAAACTAAACCCTGAACCCTAAGCCCTAACCCTAAGCGTTTAGGGTTAAGGGTTGAGGGTTTAGGGGTTTAGGGTATAGACCCCATAGCCCTCGTAAGCGATCCCCTCGACACCCACGACGTAACACAAAGATTAGGGCCCCAAGACGCCAAACCGCAGGACTCGATTCCAAGACCCTAAAGCCTAAACCTCAGGGGAGGCACAAATCCCAAGTATCACTTCCCGTTCAGGGTTCAGGGTTTAGGGGAACCCTAAAACCGTTCACAGACCTGGGAGTGGTTCAGCTGCGGCAAGTTCGGAGCAGTGAAGTGCTTCCTCGGTTAGAGCTTAGGGCTTAGGGTTTAGGGCCCAGGGTTAAGGATAGTTTACTGCTTGGGGCTTCCTGGGATCTTCAACCAAACCATGGGTTCGAGCCTCTTCAGGTTCAGGGAGTGGGGTTCCGGGGGGTTGCGACTTGCAGGTCAAGCTTGAGGTTCAGCATTGTCGGATGTTGTGGTGAAACATATGTCGTTTCAGGTTCTGGGTTCTGGGGCATAGCTTTTCGGGCTTGTGGTTCACAAAGACACGGTTTTCTGGCCGAGGGACCCGACACCAGGACAGCAACCTCGAGGTTCTGGGGTTGCTGTTGCTCCAGCCACTTACGAAGATCTCCCGACTCGGTATACCCGTGAGGGGGAGCTTCCGGAAGCGAAGGGATATACTGTAGAAGCCTACATAGCCCAACAAAAGCTGTGCATCCCAAAGAGAGACCCCTACCTCAAAGAGGTCTGAAAGCCAAAAAGGCCTCGGCAAATTGGGGCTGAAGGCTTTTGGATTTCAATTTCTGCCAGGCATCGGAACAGTGGAGCGGATAGTCTGCGGCTCCACATCGTGGCCTGTCACGGCACTGTGAGAGTGAGTTGGATTTTCGGAAGCCGCGGGACCAAAGCATGGATGAAACCCTAAACCTTCAGATTCAGATTGAAACCCTAACCCTGGAAACCTAAGCCCAAAGCCAGGATTAGCGTGGGCTTCGGGTTGCAAGATGCTGCAGAGTACTACAACACCCTATACTCGCAATCGTGAGCCCTGCAAGTCCATGAACAAAGATGCAGAGGCCTCAACACAACAGATTCAGGGGTAGTCGTCTATACCTAAGACCTACTAAGAGTCTAAAAGTGCACCTATGCCGGGACGATGAGAGGATACGAATTGGCCCTGAAGCCTAAACTCTCCAAGGGCTTGGGAAAGCTTCACAACCCTTGCAAACTCCGAACCACTCCCAAGCCCATGTTGTGCGAATGATCATAAGGGCCACTACTCTTAATTTAGTTGGGGCATAGTTAACTGCAGAAACGTACTTCGGTTTTAGGACTGTGAGTCTAAGCCCCAAACCCTTAACCCTAAAACCCTAAAGCCCTAATAATATAGAGACTGTAAAGCGCTGCTGCAGTACCCATTTGATTCGGACCGGTGGTGTAGGGGTTAGGGCTCTAGGACTACAAATTCGGGTCCGCAGGGCCCAAAGATGTGGGTAGTTTTCTAAACTAGGGTTCCTTTTAGGGATTTTAGGGTCCATATTATAAGGGTGCCGTACTATATTGGGGACCCCAAAAGGGACCCTATTTTAGAGAACTCCCCAGCTTAGGGCTCAAAGGGTTCAGTGCTTGCAAAGCTTAGGGTTTCGGGTTCAGGGTGCCCCAACTTGGAAGAGGGTAGTAGAGACGCCTCAATAGCTGGAGTAGAACTCTGTGAGCAACAATGTTGGTAATTACCCAGGCTTCTAGACTAGGAGCTCAGTGACCGGACATCTCTTATGCTTGCAAGAATGCTGGAATTATCGGTTCTATGGGCAAGAATGCTCGGGCCGTAGGATCTTGAATTTCGGTCGCTGTGCCTAGCAGCTTGTGGTAGAGGTAACCGGAAACGCTCGTGTCGTCCACGGCGAAGGTCCGCATCGCAGCCTGTGAAAGACCATGGTATTGCCAGGGTGTTTAGGGCTAGTATGAGGCTTGCTAGAAGCAGGTATCCCATTATCTGGCACACGTGGTAGAACCAAACATGGAACACCCAAGGAGCGTAGAGGGACTAGATGCGAGAACTTGGGGGGGGCGGCTGAGGCTGATGCATCAAAGCCGTCCAGGTTAACTACCCGGGTGCTGGGACTCCTCCATCGTCTTGAGATGAGGGTTAGGTTGCCTTCGTATCGCAAAATCTTGAGCCGCTCTAGTGACGAGTGACAAAGTCGGATGAGTCGTGAAGTAGAGTCTGTCATACCCAATGCTACTGTGGCTGAGAGTTGGGCGTGTAACCCTTCAAAGCTCTTCGCGCGTCCTGCATGCGGTCGAAAGAAGTTGACTTCCACACCTGAGCGAAAAGGTTTCATGCGGGGCTTGCGCTACAGAGTGTCTGAGAGGTTGGGCGTAGCTGAGAAAGGTAGTTTACACACTGGTTACCCCCCCGTATGGGTCTGTAAGAGTTCCATTTAAAGATACCTTGAAAGGCAGATATGGCTCAATATGTCTCGCTGAATGGGTTCCGGTTGTTTTGCATGTTTGGCTGAGCGAAGTTGTAGGGGTTATACTGTACGAGTCCTTACTTACCATAAAGTTACAATGAGGGTTGATGATAATGTAACGGTACTCAGGCTAGTTTTCCCAGAACAGTGCGGGCTTTGGGGCGGTAGCGCGAGACATGCGCCGGAGCAGCATCCCGGGGAACCTGCCACCTTTACACAATTCTCGCTTTTTGAATCCCATACTGTTCAGGAATTACTAGCCCTGTGGTACGTTTGTATTGTCACCCTATAGTACACTTGCTGCAACCCCTATCATGACACCCTAAACCCTAAACATCTAAACCCCTAAACCCTAAACCCTAAACCCCTAAACCCTAGCCAGGTCGCGAATTCGACTTGGAAGCCGTGGTTGATGTCCCACGGGCCCAGCTGCTGGCCACCGCGGAGCTCCAAGGCGACCTGAAAGCGACTTTTTTGTCTTTATCAAAGAGTAGGCTTTGGGGTTTAGGGTTTAGGGTTTAAGGCTCAGGGTTTAGGGTCCAGGGTTTAGGGTTTAGGGTTCAGAGTTTAGGGTTTAGGAACTACTGGAAGGGTTCCTTATCATTGAAGGCATTCAAGGAGTACCTATATAGTCTCCCTTGTCGTTCCTTCTGTGGGGGTTACCTTATAGGATCCGAACTATAAAAACTGGTCAAGCCCAACAACAAAAGGAACCAAAATGGAGACTCTGGGTACTATGTGGCTTAGATGGCATCGGCTTGCAAATTGAAGACCAAGGACCTTCACACTCATATTTCAGACTCCGGCTCAGCTTGCTGACCCTCCATGCCTCAAGCCCTAAACCCCGAACCCTAAACCCCAAACCCTGGCCTCCTCGTTGGCTGTGATTTTGGAGACGTGTCCCACAGCGCTCCAGCCGGCCTGCTGGGGCGACAGCTCACGGCTTTTAGAGGCTTTAGGTGGTTTGGGGATTTAGGGGCTTCGGGTTTTTTTAGGGGTTGTTAGGGGTTCTTAGGGGCTTAGGGGTTTAGGGGCTTTTAGAGGCTTCGGGATTTACGGGTTCAGGGGCTTAGGGACATAGGGGTTTAGGGGCTGCAGGGTTCAATCTTTAGTCTTTGAGCTCTCATGGTTCAGGGTTCCTAATGCGCCCTTCAAGGGATTGTTGGGCCAGGTGTACATACTGTTCTAACTACTGTCTGGTGCTTAGTAGGGAATGGGGGAATGGATCCCTATGATAGTCCCTTAAGGTCCCTTATAGTAGTCCCTATAATGTCAAAGAAGAGCATGGGGTACGCTGGTTCAATACCAGAAGCCCGTCTTTGGTGTAGGAGTTTAGTGTCTTGAGGCCATTGTGAAGGAAGTCGGTGGATTTCAGTTTCCGAGCTGCCCTACATCCCTGCGGATGCACAAGCCATAGGTTACGATGTCGACGTGTGTGAGCATCCTCGTCGAGTACACAGCTAGCATGATCGCCTTTCTACAGCCATACCCATAGGCCCCATAGTAGTTCCTTTTTGTTTGTTATATTTAGGATCCTATTATGGAAGCCCAAAAAGGAGCTACTATGGGGCCTATGGGTAGCCACGGCCTCGAACTATCTTCGGAATTAGTCCATGAAGGCCCGGGGCGGTCAGGGGGGTCTTGAAGGCTGCTTTTCGGAGTCGAGGGTTTAGGGTTTAGGGTTTAGGGGTTTAGGGTTTAGGGTTTAGGGTTTAGGGTTGAGGGTTCAAAAGGTGTAGGACTTAGGGTTGCCTGGTGTATGCAATGAAGCAAAAAAAAACTCGAGCTGTCTCAAGCCTACGCATGAGCATAGGCCCACCCCGCCGAAGGGCCAAGCGCGTTTAAACTCCAGATATGACTCGACGATTCTTCCTGTGACGAATATCTACTTTCGTGAAGCTTCAAGCTTGCCAATATCGAACCGACATCGAAGCAAGCTTCAACTAACCCTGAGCTCTGTACCTTGGTTGGTGACACTCAGCAGTCAAAAGCCCCGCATGCGCAGCTTAAGAATTTGTTCTGACTGGCAAGGGTCAGGGTACTTGGTATAAGCAGGGTTTATTAGTTCCCTGCTTTGGGGGTTTCGGGTATCTCTTGCAGGTGGGGGATGCCTAGAGGATCGGGGGATGTCCATAAGTACAGTAGTTGAATGTAAAGTTAGCAGCATAACTCTCAACCGAGTTGCTTTTGGCCCTGCTGACTAAGTCCCCCGAACATCTAAGTATCGACCCAGCTCAAGACACAAGTGGGCTTGACCATCCCGAGCCAGGGGTCTAGGTTTAGGTGCTGCAGCTTCAGGAGAACCAGCTCTGAAAACCCACATCTCGCCTCGGTTCGACACTGAAATCCACGATCCCCGATTATACAGAGCCACGTCAAACTTGCAACCCTTTCCGCGCAACTCATGGTAAACCAGAAGATGTGCATACCTTCACACGTGAAGCTTTCACATGTGGAGTTGGTTCGCAGATGTTCTCAGCTAGCTGTCTTCACATGTCAAGAATCCTCCCTAGTGCCCTTTGCACCGACCGGCACAGGCCGGACAACTCGACATTGGCTGCTTCAAAGTCCTGTAGAGCTTCCCGAGCCGCTGCCAGTACGCTAGGATCGGTGCCCTGCAAGGCCTCGAGCATGCTGACACCCTTTGTGTTTGGTTGTAGTAGTGTACCCAAATAGGTCTCCGCAAAAACTCGGTCAGGCTCTATGCCGAAGTCCTTCATTTTCTGGTATGCCGCTGTGAAGTTTCCCAAGTCCGCATGCGTGTAAGATTTGATCAGCGCCGTGAAGAATATCAGATCTGGAGCAAGCCCCTGCTCTTCCACTTTACGCAGTAGAAAATTGGCTGCATTATGGCTTACTCCCTCAGCACTCACGCATGCACGAACCGCAGAAGTGAAGTGAGCTAGGTTCGGTTGCAGCTTTTGTTTGGTCATGTTGTCTAGCACGGTTGCTGCTGAGACAATGTCCCCTTCTTCTGCGGCTGCATCAATCCGCGCCCCTGCAAGGGGAACATCCATGGCGTTGGTTTCCAATGCCTCTGCCCAAGTCTTGCGGACAAGCACAGTATCTCCGGCTTTGGCGAAAAGCTTGGTTGCCAGCGTAAAGACCGGCAAATTCTTTGGCAGCCCCATCGCACACAGATTGTTGTATACCGCCACTCCACGCTGATACCGGCCACACCGGAAAGCGGCATGCATGACTTGACTGTAGATTTGTGAGGAGTTTCCTTTGTAGCTGCTGAAAGCGGATTCCACGCCGTCCCAGTCACCCTTACGAGAAAAACGTTTCAATCGATCCAGTAAGCGTTTGTCAGCCTGGCTCAATGGCAGTGGCGCAATGGCATCACGGGCTTGAGACCGGAACTTCGCACCAGCCCTTTCCCGCATCAGGCTCAAGGGCACTTGCTTCGGCTGGTCGCCGCTATTGCTGGCTCTGCTTGTCTTTGATTCCGACTGGTGGGAAGGTGTAAGACAGGATTGGACGACATGCGTATAAAAAAAGCTTCTGCCACCGCTCACGACAAAGCCAGCCAAAAAAGCGGAACACAGCAAAACGGCCAATCTCCTCCGCACAGGAGACCTCTGAACAGCCGAAGCGGCCATGGCTCCGGATGAAAAAAACTGACCAACGACGCACTAGTCACTAGTTTGATTAGGTAGTCCTTGAGCAGCACATCGCATTCGTGACAAAACCCTTGCACTGAACTCTTCGTCTCAGCAAGCTTACCTTGGACAATTACCAAGCGAGTAACCCGGTAGTACAAACTAATGAGCGGAAACCACACCGGATATCACAGATTCTTGCAAGCCCTGCCAAACTCTAAAATTACAAAGCTAAGGAAGGGAGACACACGAAACTCTACAACAAACATATGATGACCTTTGAGGCCAGTAAATGGCTCAAAAAGCAAAGGTCCTGCGAAAGCCCATGGAAAACCCAAAGACCCGCAACACAAACCTAAACTGTACGCTAAAAAAAGCCCTGAAGCCCTTTCTGAAAAGGGAAGCTCAGAGACGATAGCCAAGAAAGAGCCCTTACAGGACCCCCTTCAAACAAAACCAAAAATCCTTTGAAGAACCCTGAGATCTAACCTTTCAATGAGCTCCTGTCCTAAGCGGACGAGCCTCGTCCGAGCCGGAGAGGTCGGCGTAGGCTGAGGAGTTGAGGCGCAAGCGAAGCCTTGAGTCGGGCCCCTGTATTACTTCGGGGGTACTGGAAGAGCCTGAATGCAACCAGAAAACCCGGAAGGTTTCCAGGGTTTTTCAGCCCTAAACTCAGAACTCGAAATACTCCGAAATCCCTAAACCCTAATCCCGAAACCCCTAAACCTTAAACCCCTAAGCGACCCCTGAACCCCTAAACCCATAAATCCCAGAGGCTCGTCTCCCGGCGCGAGTCGGGCTTCGGTGTCTTCCTGCTATGCTTGGCTCAGGGCGCTTAGCTAAGTAGAGTTTTATTGAGGATCCTAGAAGGGTTTAGGGTGTAGGGGTTAAGTTGAGTTCCTCGAGGATCCTAGAAGTGTTTAGGGCTTAGGGTTAAGGGTTTACGGAGAGTTCCTCGAGGATCCTATAGGGGTTTAGGGATTAATCTTTAAGTTGAGTTCTTCGAGGATTTTTAGAAGGGTTCTATAGCGCTGCTGTGGGGTTCTAGACGGTTGGGGGACTGCATTAATGAGACCTCCTAGGGCTGCTACAAGGGCTTCAATTGTTCATTCCTCCTCGCCCAAAAAGCCCGCGGGAGAGCTGTGTTCTGTCGTCTTCACACCCAAGTCGCTCCAAAGAGCCGGCACATGACGTGGGAACCAGAAGGTCTCACGCAAATGTTGCACTTGGGCCTCCCAGGAATCTTCGTCGTCCACGCAACGAATTTCCACCCGGGCATCCTCCAGCTCGACCGCCTCCATGTCAGCAAGGAATTTCACAAGCTTGAGGAAATGTCCTGCACGAAGGAAGTACCAGCGATGCGTAGTTCCGGGTGGTACTCTGAATGGAGGCGCGCCAAAAGCTTTGATCCAATGTTGCCACCGTCCAGCGTAGCAAGTTAGCTTGCGAATTGGGTGCTCGTGATGACCGGTAATTTGGACGGCACCAAAATGCCTCCTAAGGCTCCAAAGCATGTACTGAGACACTTGCCCGGGGACTGTCCAGTACAAGGAACCGGCACCGTGCCTGCGGCGAAAGCGGCCACGCCCTCTGCGATGCAGGCCTGCTTTCTTCCATCTTTCTCACCTGCAGCAACCAATAGCCTTCGAACATGTCTTGTTGCATGGAGGCGAACTCGGGAGCGATGTGCTTCTGATTGGCCACGCTGATCAAGGACGTGATGGTTCGCGTCATAGCTGCGTCGTACAAGAGGGATTTCAGCGCAAAGTCTCGGGTGTAGTCCATGCATCTGCTGTAAGCTTGCGCATGAAGCTCGTCCGCATGGATGGCGTCGAGGATGCCGATATCCATTCCAGAACAGTCAAACGAGATGACAGATCGGTGTCGGCGAAACGAGTGGATACAGCTATGGCCTGGCCGCGATTTCGATGCCAGGCGAGTTCAAAAGCAGTGTTGCTGTCTTCACTTCGTGCCAGGCACCGTCACTGTCCTTGTTCTCGTCAGCGAGCTGCTGGTGATTGCGGACCCACTCTGCGTATGTGTCGTTATTGGCGAGCAACCAAGAGAAAAACTTTTTGCTTGGGCGGAACGATCGATGTTGAAGAGGGGCAATCGCTTCCAGCGACCACGGATGACAGCTTTTTTCAAGTCGAGCCCACCAATTACAAAAATGAAAGCGCTCAGGAAGCCGCGGGAGGCATTCCAACAGACAGAGGGCCTCAAATGATGTAGATTTGTGGGGTCGGGAGCCGCGCGTGGGAATTCCAATGTTGAACGTGACTGCTGTCCGAAGGCGGCCTCACCAATGACAAAAATGAAAGCGCTCAGGCAGCCGCGGGAGGCATTCCAACAGACA